CAGGCTCCATCTGTTTCGAATTCCTGGATCCGCAACTGAATATAATTAATCGAACGATTTATTGATTGCATTATTTTTGTTACTTGATTTACAATTATTAGATATGGATTTTGGCATTAGATATTTCGGAGGATAATCTACGGAAATCTGATTACTCTCCAGTGAATGAACCTTTCCGAAGTGTCAATCAAACTTGACAACTGACCAATCGTTTTGTGGGACCTTAGCAACAATCTCCAAGGGATTATTCTTCACATGGAACCATTATTCGTATTACTCCTAATCTTAACAGTTGAGGACCCTGGTATTCAACCCCCATCCCGCATGCAATTCCGGCCCGCCAAAAATATTGATCCGGCCCGCGAAACATTGCTAAAAAATAAATAATTTTTCCTGCAGATTTTCAGTACTTACAGAAAAAGTTTTTCTGTTAATAGAAACACGATCACCTACTCTGGCATTGTTAACGAGAGTCTGCTTTTTCTGAGTGTAGCTCACTGTAGTGCATGGAGTAGTCCTATTGACGTGGGAAGGGAGACTGGTAATGGGGGATGAAGGATTAAGGGGAGCGCTGATATTATGATGTCTAACCATTGGCGGCGCCAGCGGTGGATCCGGGGAGGAGGCTCGGGGCATGTCATTCTGTTGAAAACACTGCTTTGAAAACGTATATATATAAAAAAAACAAAAAACAAAAAAAAAAAACCAAACAAACAAACAAAAAAACTGACATTAATAATATTCATTAGTAACACTTCAAAGATTTACATATATCAAAACTATTAATATATATAGGCCTATAAAACAGCAAGACACGCACAGAAGCTGGTTTCCTACTAAATCAATAATGGGCTAATTGTGATACAATTTCCGGGAAGTTCACCTTTCCAGCAGAATATAAAGCAGTGTAACGCGCATGTTTTGGCTGCATTCAATTGGTGGATGGGTGAATACCACACGATGACTGAACACCTCGCCACCGGCCAAGATCACTTCGGGAACCTCTCTTTCGGGAATGCTTTTCATACATTTGAAAATTCACCTTGGACACAAGTCTCAAATCTAACACCGACTATTGAGTGGGATATGATGGCACAGGCAATGGTACAAAATGATGAGGAGGATGACGATGTCATTGTGCTAGGTGAAACCAGCGAGCGAGAATCTACGTTATGGCCAACTGTACGAGAAGGTAAAAAAACAAAATTATCTTTGTTCTAGAAGTACGGTTTTTTTCCACTTTGCTGCAAAAACCAATAGGCTTAAGTGGAATTATCGGCATGAAAATATATACAGTATATGAAAAGATCTATTACCACATCTTAACACACACATAAAAAAATGTGATTTAAAATAATATCGAAAGGTCCACTGATTAATCTCAGTTGTAAGTATTGAAATACACGCCATCCTGTTCATTGTCATGAATGTTGACATAATTAATGTCTATTTAATCTCAACAAGATGGCGTGTATTTCAATACTTGTAGTATGTATTATACTTTCTTAGAATAATATGTTACTGTAATAAGGTAGGCCAATAGGCCCTACATCTATACCATAATTGTTATAGGATAAGTTTACTTTAAAGAAAAGAAGGTACGGTACTGTATTGGCCAAACACAAAAGGTATAAAAAATGGCGTTCATAAAAACAATGTAGGCCTTAGGCAAAATAAACTTATTAAAGTCCTCTCCATCATTTTGTCGGGCAGCCGCCTTCTTTTTTTTTCTTCGTTTACAAGCCACAATTCCAAGTATCCTGCAGAAAATGGATATTTCAACTGAGAAGTCCGAGTGGTGAGTTTGCCCATTCCCATAACACGGGATGGGAGGGTTGGTTTCTATGATCGACTGATCCCCATTTTGAACAAACCCTTCTGATATACTACCAGTACCACTTCACTTTTGCGCCCCCACCCATCAGCACCCCCACTTCAAGACTCTTAGATACGCCACTATATACCACACCTAGGCCAATATTTTTGTTTAAAAAAAAAAAAAAAAAAAAAAAAACTATCAACATGATAATAAAATTTACCAATTAGGCCTACATGCTTTAATGCTTCAGCTTCAGCGGCCTTCACCCCGATCCCAACATAGCCCTTGCCTAATGCTCTGTCTGATTTTCCCATATATGAAAATGATGACGTCATCCCACCCATATAAATTAACAAATCACAGATATCTTTACTTAAACCATGTGTGAACATAACTTATTACGATTAGGCTAAGTATTCGCCTATAGGTCTGAATACTTCGCCAAGATTGGATACCAACAAGCTCTAAATCTCCGATAATCAACCCCCGGCCGATTTAGAAAAAGTTTTTCTGTTTAGAGTAAACACTACATAGGCACCCCTACTCTGGCAATGTTTACAAGAGTGTAGCTCAATGTATCTAGTGGCGTAGGGTACTGGCATGGGGAGGGGTAGACTAATAGGGACAATAGATTAAGTGGGACACTGATATGATGCGATGTCTAACCATTTGCGGCACCAGTAGGCTCGAGGCATGTTATTCTGTTGAAAACACTGCTTTGAAAACTTATTTTTGAGTCTGAAAGTGCAATTTCCGGAAATGTAGACGTATCTATGTTTAAAATGTGCTCACCTCAAACGCAACCACTGGTGAATGGATATTTTTGTGGTAGGAAAATTCCTAGTGGCATGGTAGGAGAACCTGGAGTGCAGTTTTTTTTTTTCCAAATTTCAAAAAGAAAGAAAAGAGACGAAAATTAAATTCAAATTAAATATGAGAGTGCCGACTATCTAGAGGTGCCAAAATCATACATTTTAATAATATTAATAATTCTGGATTTATATAGTGCCTCACGTTGACACAATTATTACCCCCGGATCACTGGATCAAGCACATATGGAACACACACTCATCAGCACCAACCAGGGTGGGGCTGAGGTGGTAATTTCCCTATCTGTGACAGTTGTTCCCCGGCCTATTCTATAGCAGTGAATTCTATTTCGAATTCACTGCTATGAAAGAAAATGGAAGTACACAATTTATGTCGGCCCGCTGGTCTCACCGAATCGGAACTGGCCCCCAGCTTAAAAAGGTTGAATACCAGGGCTCTAAATTAATGTAATTAATTAATAACATTTCATATTTAGTTTCAGATGCAGAATTGAAGTTAACTTTGAAATACCGATCGAATGTGGTGAAATGTGTCAATGTGAACATTAGAAACGGGTTTCGCGTTTGTTACAACCCCGGCCTTAGCTCAGATCTCAATGAAGGCCAACTGACTTTCCCCGAGAAAGACGAAAGCTTTTTTGGAGATTCTGAGTCTAAAACGAGAAGTAAACTTTACAAGCTGACCAGTGATATACTAGCAAAGCTTCAAGATGGGTACGTTCATATCAAATTTATTTTATTTATCTCTATTTATTTAGGTGCACACACACACATGCATACCGATAACGACTGTACAGCGCTGTCCTAAATTCCTTTCACAAGACAAACATACACACACAATGCTGTCACAAAACTGAATTTCAATGAGAGGCTTAGCCTATTATTCGGAGTGGAGTTTTTGGTAGTGAGAAAAATCCTTCAACACTCACAGGAATTAAATCCAGGACCCGGGGATTGGAACGCAAGAATCTCAACCACAAAGACTCTGTTCATTGTCAATACTTTTTATTATCAGTAGGTACTGCTATAAGGAAATAATTGCTGAATTAATAATCTTCCCCACAAATATTGTATCATTTCCGCAATCTGCATTTTTAAGTGCCGTATGTTTTAAGTCGTCTGCCAAGTTACATTTCCTTCCTGAAAAGATAATTTGAATTGCTCATTACATAAGCACATAATACAGTAAATTTATGACTAACCTTATCTACAAATTTACCAAAAGAAATTTTCTTTTCTCTTTATATACTAGTATTGAATTCAGCATATCTGGTGGAGTTATCTTTGCCACTCGTCGCTGCCTCGCAAAATTGTATTGTTACAGTTCTCAGATGCACCATGGTCAGGATCCGGTTAAGTTGGAACGAAATGCACCAGTCCCAATATACGACTACAATCGTTTCGAAGACTCACTCAAAGAATTTTTGATAAATCAATTCGATCCCGAAGGAATACGCACGACGTTTCCAAAACCTAAGATATTTGTAAGCTGTGCGCAAGCGTGGAAGCCCATGCACGATCTTGACCACATCCTGAACGAGATGGGTGCCTCAATACAACCTACCCCGCTCAACGACTGTCTTGTCACCATGGAGATTGTGCCCTTAAAGGCAATAGACTTTATCATGTCAGTATCAGATAGTCGTGAAAACACAGAGTCAGTAACAATGAGCTTAAATTCAGATCATCTTCAAATATCCAATTGAATGAAAATTCACGGGGATTCAAAGATTTAATTTAGCAATCTAGTACCCAACAGTCCGGTAGATTCCGATCTGTGCAAAAAAAATCTTACGATTGGAGGATATTAAACCATAATGACAATCTATAGAGACAAACGTAATTAATATAGCAAAATTTAAAAGAAAGTAGGTGTAGATATCGGGGGATATCTACATCATACATTTTATGTATTTGATTAATTAATTGAAAATGTTAATTGAATTGAATTGAATATTTACACTGTAAAGTTTTGAACCCAGTTATCTGTCTTTACGTACGTATTGGCCTCGTCTGCTTCGAAGTGTGCATGTTCAATCAGACGTGTAACCAGTCTTTTTTTTAAAGGTCCATGGGCGCTGGGAGCCCTTGGGTCCAGGCCGCATCAACAAGTCCCTCTGGAGCTAAAGCATTCTTGCATGAAATGTTGATGGTTTTGATACAAGGGAAGGTTATGGTTTGGTTTATCAGAAGGTGTTTGGGCCAAAACGTTGTAAATTGTGGTGTTTATATTTTTTTTATACCGTAGTATGATGATGATGGTGATGATACTATTATTAATATTATTAATTATTATTATTATTATTATTATTATTATTATTAATATTATTACGCTTTTGGCCTACTGTACATATTATGTGAAGACAACAAAAGCTTGGTTTAAATAAAATCCCTACACGCGTGTCGAATCGGGGAGCCTTTTCGATTGCTACGCTGAAAATAACTGTATTAACGATAGTGTAGCGATTTTAAGGAAGCCAGGATTATACAAACCCAAAGCTCGGGAAACATTGCAGGGATGGCACCAGCTTTCCCATAACCCTCATTATGATTAATTTTCCCCGACAGACCGTGACTCCCCGCGGACGGGGCCTTGCCTCCCCTGACAGAGCTGGGCCCTGGTTTAGCCGGCCCACCCGCTGGTGGCACCCCCAGCCTTGGCCACATAACACTACTGATGTTGTTATCAATTGGGGGAAGCCTGGCGGATAGAAATTCATCGCGGGGGCATTAGTCTAAGGCTGCAATACACTACTATAGCATTCATTTAAAAAAATAAATTATTTAGTCGTTCATTGTATCTAAACAGCGAATAGAATTAGATTAGGCCTGCTAGCCACAAGGTTGTGTATTTCTATGAAACAACATATGTTTAGGGCCATTATGATTCTATTTGCTTTATGTATTATAATAGAAAGCCTTCTTTTAACATTTTGTTTATGATACAAAATATCACACAGTTCGGCCTCTAATTCGAAGAAAACTCTAATTTCCAAAACCCTAATTAGAAACCACTTTTTTGAAGTACCAACTAACGATCTTCAATATTTAAAAGCCAGGCTCCGGAGGGAAAAAATGTGTTGATATGTTCATAGAGAAAATTTTCTATTTTCTTTATGATATGTTGTAGAACCGAATGTTTTCCGTTGAGCCTGACTTTAACACAAACATAATACTCTAATAATTGGATACTGAACCCTAAGACCACCCTCATGTTTCGGGTCCCAGCGGTGGTCTCGAAGAGGTGAACTGTATGATATAGGCATAGAAATAATGTAGGCCTAGGTCTACATGTAAATAGAAGCGTCATTCAGGTTGTAGATTTATTGTGTTTTATGGCGTTTCGAGTATGTAAAAATAAATTCACGATGAAAATGATGTTTATGTTACTGTACATTATTTATTAACCTGTTATGCAAGTTTTCTGGAAATGGCGCGTTTACTTGTTCATCACCACGACCTGCAAAATAATCATGTCGAATTGTAGGGTTGTGATAGTCGTCAAAAGTTGTCTAGCAGGCACGGAGCAGCTGTGCAGGAGGAGGTTCCATAATTTAATGTCTCTTTATCCTGTCTTTTGCTACTTTTTTCTGGTTTTCTGTTCAATTTTTTCTTTTTTTTGGGGGGGGGGTTTCATTCTTTCTTTTGTTATTTTTTTCTTTTTTTTTCTTTTTTGTACTTCGGATTTTTCTCCTTCTGTTCATTTGAGGGCGTAGACCCGTGGCGTAGTAGGGTTTAAGAGGTGGTGCCTCCTAGCTCCACAATGAGAATAATAAGCCACTAGACGCTCATACATAGCATCTTGACCTAAGGATGATGCTTTTTGTATCTCAACTTAAAGCCATTAAATGTATGTAGGCCTATACACACATAATAGGCCTATTTACTGTAATAAGAATGAGAAAGTGTATCTGACCGTTTTCAAGAGGGGGAAAACCTTGTAGTTTGAACAACTTAAAAGTCACCTCAGAAGTCGGGAAAGATCATTTCCCGCCATCTAGGAATACAAATTTTCCCCCTTTTCTCTTTTTTTTTTTTTTTTTTTTGGAAAACATTTTTATCTCCCCCCCCCCCCACCCACTAGTACCCCTTACTGAAAAATTCACAGCAAGGCGAGAACGTATTACTATATGTTCTGCGCACGCTATCTTTTCTATGAGAATACCTGCAATTGCCAATACATGGACATGATGTGTCATTAACATCCATTCCATACTTTGGGCTTATTCGACTAGTTAATTTCGTTGACTACGATTTTTTGTTGAGTATTATTTTCATTCGACTGGTTAGTAAAATTGACTTCGTTGACAACGAAAATTAACGTAAACAAAGGTTTACGTGACCAAAGCAAACATGACCGATTGGTCAGTTCAGAAACACTGACATTTCCGTTAATAGATTAGATTTCAGAGAATAAACATTGTAAATGATCTACCCACATGAATTTAAAAAATTATTTTAGGTTAACAGTATTCAAAAACACTTTTTTTTTTTTTTTTTTACGAAGAACCTTTACTGACACAAGCTGTTCAGCAATCTTGATCGCAGCGTGTATCGCGGTAACTATGCAGTCATTTTGTTTTGTCCGAGTATTTGCAAGTTTTCTATTCGACTGGTCGTCTTCGTAGGATTATTAAGTAGGATTTTACCACTGCGCAGTTTAACGGAAAACGACCAGTCCAATACGGCCATTGACAAAGTCTATGTATTTAATATTACATAAAACTTGATAATGTAGAGAGGGCATGCATGTTGAACAATTCATACGTTTTTAGAGGAAGAAAAGCCTGAAATGTTTCTGAGCAAAAAAATACACTAAATTATCACATTCGATTAGGCCATATTCCCAGCTATCTATAGCGTCCTTCATAATTAATCCTCACTCCATCTCCCATAACCCTCGCTACTCCCCATCTCTACCAAATGTCAATACCCATACAGTGCTGTTGAACACAACTGATTCATGATTGCAAAATAACAGTAGTTTTAAAATTATGGTTTCACAACGTAGTGCTTTGCTAACAATAGATCGATACTGATTTGTGATTCATCGGCGATGGGAATTCCCATATATCTATTTTTAGAAATGCTTTCGTTTCCATTTGGCTGTCGTTATTCAATTCACTCTATTAACAACACGTTGTGAACATTGCCTGCACAGAATTTTTGTATAATAATATGAAATCATGGGCCGTTTGCCCAGTCAGGCAGAATACCTCATCAGGTAAACACCTCCTGAAACGTAGTTAAGTTCGTCAGTTTCAGATTTTTGCCAGAAGCCTGAGCTCAGTGTTTTAGCCAACAAACAAAAACAGCCAAGGTAAAAATTGCTTGCTCTTATTTTGTTGAATAAGCCTAGTATATTACAAATTATGCGGACCTTTTTGGACTCGGATAGTATGGGCGTATTATAATAGCTGTAGTAACAATTGTAGTATTGTGTCCATAACGGCTGGTTACATCATGGTTACACAGGGGTTTGTAAGAAACTTAAGAGGGTGTAAAATTTTAGGTAGTAGCCATGCGACGTGCGAAGCCTAGAGGGGGGAGTCGGTGGTGTTAGAATCGTTTGACCATAGATAGACGTACGCTGGTACATGGAAAATTAGCTTGTTTTGGAGTACTGTGCTCCATACTTTCTCCATTCTCCACGCCCCCCCCCCCCCCCCCACCCCTGAATCCCCCCCCCCACCACCCCTGAATCCTCCACTGATGTAAGCGTATATTTATCATCAGGGTCAGACTAAAAACATTTGAAGATGAAGACTAAAAACTCCACAATAGATATATACATCTAATACTACTAGCATACTTGAAAGCAGGCCTGTGTTTTGGTTATAAGCATAGGTTTGTTTTTTTTTCCCGCTGACGCGGGAAAAAATGAGGATGAGTTTACAGGTCTTGTTGGACCTCTGGGTTTGTAACCTTACGCTAGTGTTCTAGGTGGGGACAAGGAGTAAAGCAAAGTTTACAATGAAGAGATGCGGGTGGTAGGGGTGCTAAAATCAGGCCAAGGAGGTAGGCCTTTGCTCCTCGAATATGACTTCGGTAACACTACATTATCGAACTAAATCAGCCAATCACAATCTCCGCAAAATCTAAATTGGTTAGAATCGGTTTGCTTATAATCACAGACGTCAGGAAGATGGCTTCGCAAGCAGATTCATCCGACACTGTTGTAGCCCCTGCTAGAAATGGCACAATTGATGTGAACACCGGAAGAAGCCCGGAAGGTATGTTTAAGAAATAAATTTATTATAGAAAATGGACGAAAGCGGCAGCTTCATTAGTCCCTGTTGAAGTTTATCGGAACCCATTATAGGCATTATAATTATCAGCATGTTTATTCAGGATATTTACCGTATTCAATGAAAGCAAAATATACAACAGCTTAAAAATTTACAAAACATTACTAACATTGATCTACCATACGGTCCTGATTGAAAAACAATTGTAAGATCAATAAAATATTAAAAATTGTAAAATGTACACATTTTAAAATGACGTGGATTGTGTTTAATGATTACTAGGTAGGAAACTTAAAAACTTAGTTCCTAAAGTTACACACATAAAAATGCTTTAAAACAGCATTAAACAGGGTAAAAATCAACAATGAATTTTAAACAATCTAAAACAAGTAGGCCTACTATTTTTACTTTTTTAAATGTTTTTATTGATAAATTTATTTTACAAAAATGCCTATAAGAAGGAATCAACATCGCAAAAGAGGAAACTTCTGAATTATTTTAAAAGTTAAATACCTTTAGTGAAATAAAATTAACCCAGCTACATACTTACGTTAAAATAACTGTTTTTATGTATTGCATTACTGATTAATTCACCACAATAACCAATAGAAATTATTCAAAACCAACCACAGATTGATCTTCAATCAATCAATCAATCAATTAATCAATCAATCAATAATAAGTTATAATAAATATGTAACATAGAGCGCAATATAGTGGGGTTTTTATCAAACAACCAATAACAATCAAAAAATCGACATACAAATCAATAAATCGATCATGTCTGCATTTGCTTTCTTCCATTATGTTAATAATACACAGTTAAATTATGTCAACATACAAAGATATTGTAAATGCTCGAATAAGCGCCACACCAAACCCGATTTTTTTTAGCTAAGGGCCACTCTCGAATAAGCGGCGCGGCACTTAATCGAGAGTAGGCCTAGGCCTATATAGTATCCTGGGTGTAATGAAACACTTTGAGAAACAGGGTTTTAAATACAATGTATACAGTGTTAAAATGAATAAATATTACAATGAAGACACAAGCAATTCTTTATAAACGTTTATTAACGATGACGTAGGACTTATTATAAGCCCCGCCCCTTTGATATTGTTGCCAAGACTTAGCGTGAAACGTACGTAGATAGATGTGTTTGTGGGACATGCGCGTATTCCTGGCTCTTTTTCTGATTGTTGAGTTTTTAACTTTGACTGACACCCCAGGAAGGTCCATTAAAGTGGCTCATAGTCAAATCATAGTAAAAATTCAAATCGTAGTAAAACAGAGTTGTTACTCATTTTGGCCTTTTTAATGAAAAATTCATTATTTTTACTGAATATTGCACCACAGCTGGTATTTTTAAAAAGAAAAATGATTTTATTTATGAAAGTGTTGCACAGTAAGTTATAACTATAAGAGAGCACAGTATACCGTGTCACTTCGTCACTATCAAATACAACTTTAATTGTATTATCAGTGTCTAGTTCAAGTTAATTCAAATTAATATTGTAACTACGGTTAAAAAGTTATGCAAACACATTGCAGTGTGTTTTTTCCACTCCTGTGTCTCTGTTTGCTTTAGAACCCGAAATGAACATTACAGTACGTTATCGGTCCGATGTTGCCTTGAAGAGACGGATTAACATCGAAAACGGTTGCTGTATATATTACGGAGAACATAACTGTCAAGGCACACAGAGGCTACTTCTAGAACTCCCCAGGGAAGAGGAGATCGAAAGAACCGAAACAAATGAGGACATTAAGAAACTCACGTGTGATGCTTTACGGATCATGAAGGACGGGTAAGTACTCAGCAGTCAACTTCCATGTGGAACAGGAGCACAACAGCTTTTCAAATGCTCCAGAGTTTTAAAATTGAGGTTTGGTGTAAGCGGGTGTGTTAAGCCGGGCACTCACGGCGTAGCGGACCGTCGTACGACCGAAGCACGGCGAATCAAACTTCGTTTCCTACTGTGAGCGCTAGACGACGCGGCACCGTCTGCTGATTGTCGGTGTGGCAATCTGAACGGATCGTCTGCAAGTGCGTCGTGGCGTTACGTTTTCCATAGAATCGCGTCGGCCGGGTGCATGCAGTGAGCGCCCGGCTTTAGACATTGTTTGGGTGCAAGAGTTTTGGCAATGCTATTAGGAAAAGGTAGTTTGTGAAGGGCGGGGAAGAGGTTGTTCGAAAAGTGTGGGCAAAGATTTTCGGTAGAATACGGTAGAGCAGAATTTTTTCAGGAGCAATGGTTGTTGGGATGCAAGGGAGTGGGACAGAAGTTTTTGGAGCACAAGAGGATGGACTGATGAGTAATAATGGTAGGACCAGAGGTGTTGGGGGAAGATTTTTGGTGCTAGAGAGTCAGGACAGTGGTTGTTGAGAACAATTTTGTTGGAATCAGAAAGATGGGTCAGCGATTGGCGAAAAAGTTGTTCAGGCAAGATTGTTGGAAACAAGAGTACGGGGATGTGAGCAGAGATTGTTGGAGGACTCAAGAGCGTTGGGTAGAGGTTGCTGGGGCACAAGTGTGGTGAGGGTTTTAGAGCGCAAGAGGGTGGCGAAGAAGTTGTTGATGTAAAAAAGGTTGAAGCAAAGGTTGTTGTGGTGTATCTAAGATAAATTGAATAAATTAAACTAATTGATCCAAAATGTAAACCATTTATTGATCCAAGTGTTATTATCATTTTTATCGACGCACAATGCAATTTTTTAAAATTAAATACGTTTGTTCTTTGGTAATGCGTTGAGATAATTTAATTTACAAACCACCCCTTTCTAACAATCATTTACACTAACAAAATTCTTAATAATGAGATGGCATATTTTTTTTTAGATTATGTTATACTGTACATATTTAAAGATGTTTACTTCTTTTAGTTTTCTATTAGAGTACAAAGACCGTTGTATATACGCAAGACGTCGATGTCGATCTAGAATATACTATTACAGTTCACAACTGACTTCAGGGAAAGACCCTATCAAACTCAAGATTGATGAAACTACAAAAATATTCGACTACGATTTGTTTTACAAAGAGTTTAGTAACTGGTATCGTGAATATATTAATGGAATAGAGACACCACTGATTCGTCCTAAAATCTGTTTTTCATTTGGCCAATCATGGCAGCCATTTCATAAAAATCAACCAAGAAACCAAGACCGGCCCCAGCCTACTGCTATAGACACATGTATCATGTCCATGTACGCCGTTCCGCTTCAGGCACGCGACGCGATTATTTCTACCGAGGGAGGCCGGAAGATCTCCGAGACACTCTCATGGGGCCTGAATAGTGGCCACTTGTTTTTATCGAATGAAGAAAAAAAGCAAGTTTGCACATTGTTGGAAGCATGTAGGGAAGAAAGACTCAGTGCACGTCAACAGATGCTAGCACAACAAGACCACCAACAACAACAACAACAACTGCATGAGCAACAACAGCAGCAACAATTGCAGCTTCAACTACTACAGCAGCAGCAGCTGCTGCAACAACAGCAACAACTACAGCAGCAGCAGCAACATCAACAGCAACAACCGCAGCACGATCTGCAATACCAACAAGACCAATATTACCTCCCCCAACATTCAGGTAATAACATATTTCAATTCGAATGCAATGACGACTACATCATGGATGATGTAATGATGCCAGATGAATTTTGCGAACTACCAGACGATATAAGTGAAATGATGTCAGAATATACAGAGCCAGTTGTTACGGAAAAATATTTACAAGACCTGCTTGCGTCATTGGAAAGACAGTGATTATAGTGTTTATGACATATTATATACATAATAACATATTATATTATATACATAATGTATATAAACAAATTGATAACAGTGCTCGAAAATGAACATCCCCATACTTCGGTTTGGGTGCTGGCATGGTATTCAAATTTCACTTCCTTTTATTTTGTGGTTTTGGTTTCCGTTCCATCTTTACACTTGCCTGATAGCGCTTAGAGACTTTTTGTATTTTGCGCTCTATAAATTAATAACCATTAACCATTAACATAAGGCATATGGTATATTAGTCGTATCATCAATCATAGCTCTTCAACAAAACCCCCAGACTATGTCAAACTCCCCCCTAAATTTTCCCAAATTATATATAAAAAAAAGAAAAATTATAATCAAATTTAGGTCTGAATGTGAGGCCATTTCCGGCCATCTAGTGCGCCATAATAATAAACTTTCTTACCTTGCTCCTCCCCAACCATGGTAGGGCTGAAGTGGTCAAGACTCCGGGTCCCCTCTATTTCGAATTCCTGGATCAGTCACTGTTAATAGTAGTATTTATATGACTTGTTGTGTTGTCCTGTATGCAGCTTGTCCAATGGCTTTTCATGTGAGGTTATTGGGGTTACAAGAGAATTTAAATGAAATGTAAAAATATAAATAATATGCAATCTAAAATAAATGTGCATTGAAATACCAATCTTAGGTCAATGGTGTGTTTTGTTATTAGATTAATTCATGATATATTTTGTATTTACTTGATTTTGGTCATTTCTCGTCTTATTTGTGTGCCACTTAATAGAAACAATGAAATACTAATAATTATAATAAATTTACATTGCTGCGGCGTATGACGCCCGAGATTGTTTAATAATATAATTACATACGTATATTATTATGTATTATAATTTTTCTTTAACTTGCATATTAATGTCGTAAATTATGCTATGGCGTATGACGCCTATGATTCTTTAATAATACAATTACCTAATATATTATGTATATACAGTAGGTTTTTCTTCAATTTGCATATTAATTACAATATAATAACTATAGTAATAAAGTACAATGCTGCTGCGTATGACGCCCATGATTGTTTAAAAATAAAATCACCTAAATATATTATTATGTATATATATTTTTTCTTCAATTTGCATATTAATTACATTAAAAATTGATATGGCGTAAGACGCCCTAATATTTACTTAATGTAAGGTAAGCATAATAAATGAATAAATAAATAAATTGCGTTTCTATGGCATATGACACCAATGATTGTTTATATTAATTAAATAACAATTAAACATGATGCTCTTTCTATCGAAGTACCTGTATAATCTTCATTTTGCTGCTACACCTCGAAGAGGCTGATGACTGAAATCGTTGTGCGTCAATAAATTCACAGCAATTGTGTACTTAGTACGCTTCTGAATTTTCTGTTAGTTTGAAAAATTGATTCACAACCCACAGCGTAATAATGCTGAATTGTGCACGAGTCTGGTGGTAGTGGTCAGTATACAGGGAAAGATTTAGCGGGGGGATGCCCCCGGACCACCATAGGGTAATGTTGTCTCTCGATCGTCCCGACCCCCCCTTTCGCCACCTCTGGATCCGCCCCTCATGGTGGTGGTACTAGTAGTAGTATTAGTAGTAATTAGTGTAGTAGTAGTAGTCGCATCTTTCTGCAAAGGTGTGGGTGAAGGGCTGTAATGAAAAGTGAACTAACACTTCCGTGTATGCCCTACATTGGGCATCTGGTTTTGAGTCCTCATCAAAGAAGTCTTGATTCTACCAGTAGGCCTACCAATTTTTAAGGTCATATCGCGGTACTACTCGATTCCGACCGAAATTTCATACAGTAGTTCCTTGGTTTTATGACGCCTATTCTCGGAATCGGATTTTAGTTCCTCTATTTATGTTATTCTTCGAATTTATCGATTCCCCGGAATTCTGAGAACTCATGAACCCGGCTTAGTATTGTATTATTCCAGTAGACTTACTATGTTAAATCCAACATACTTAACTGTCGCTCAAAATATGAATTGTTATCGAAACGGTTGACTGACTGCGAATTTATAATATTCATTGACAAAATGAATTACTACGAGCCGAACAGGCCTACGGTTGAATGAAATCTGTATAAAAGGGAACCTTTATGAATGTTGATGTTATTTGACTGCATTGACGCATTGCTGATGAGACCGACCGGCCAGTATGTAGAGTCATCTCAGAACGATATTTAATTACAGTAACACTTACAATACGGTAGGTCATTGTTAACAATTACTGTAGGATTGTATGAATGGTAGACCTAGTACTGTAGTCTATCTATTTGGCTAGCCCTATGACATCAGCACGAAGCCTCGCAACAAGGATGTTTATCGACCAACTAGGCCTACTTGCACTGTTGTTATCATATAATTGCTAACCCAACTGATAGTTATTATCTACTCAGCCGGTGTTGGAGGATGAGCGTACAGTGGTCTACAAATACTTCTGCAATATCAAACCGTTAAATATCTACCCGGTTATACTATAGGCCTACCAAAGAATACATGGCGCTGAGTGTCAGTTAGTATGCTCCGCTTTCCTCTCTCATCAGGAAATCATTGACCTCTCTCTCATCAGATACCACGTGAGTTCGTCGGCATAAAAATACTGAAACCATGATTAAAATCTCTCCCTTTCACTCCTGATTCTGGCAGAAGCTCGATTAAATAAACCTTTGAAACCCCTAGATTGATGTCCCATGGACCCCTTTTGAAACATTTTCAGCGACGTCGATCACGCCCACTTTGCTCTCATCGGGGACATCTCTGGTCGGGGACCTCCTCCCCCACGAGCAAATCCTGGCGCTACTTGAGTGGCCTCACGTTCGGACCCTGCTGGAGTTGTTGGATCCTTTGTCGACAAAATTTTGAAGCCACCACTCACAAACTCCTAAATGTAAAATTCTGTTATTCATAATTTCCTCTTCCTGAAAAGAAGAATGGCCGTGAACTTGACAAAAGTTGTCTTGTCCAACCATAATTTATATTTTAGATGATTATACCGAGTAATGACGAAATACATATCATAAATAGATCGGCCATTAACTTCCCATATATGTATTTTATTAATTTTAACCATTCTGCTAACAGAATATCTGTGGTCATAGACGTAAATTAATTACGTTGACACTTTAGCAAGCAAGACAGTAGAATCTATTGTTAATAGTAATATTTAGGATATTAGTGTAGAGAAATAAGTAATAATAAAAAATTATAAAAAAAACCTTACTTATTTAATAAGGATTTTACGGTATATGAACTGTTTATTATTTTTTAATTGCAGTATCGCAATTCATCAGTTTTTATTTAGACTTGATATATTTATTTATTTATTTATTTTTATTTTGCATATGAGGTATGGCGATATGAAAGATCCTCCTTTCTTTACCTTTTTCCTCTTGTCTTATCTTTCTGTTCATTTCCTTTCCTTTCTCATATTCCTTATCCTTCTTTTCTATCTTTTCATTTCCTTTCTTATATTTCCTTCTCTTTCCTTTCCTTTTCTTATCTTTTCTTTCCTATCCTCTTTCTTTCTTTTTTTTCTGTACCTTTTCCTCTCTTGTTTTTCCTTATTTTTCTTTTCCTTTCTTATTTCTTATCTTTTCTTTCCTTTTCCTTTCTTGAAATTCCTTGTTTCTTCTTTTCTTTTTCGTTCTATGTTAGTAAACATAAAAATCACAGACACGTCATGGTTCATGAATCTAGGTTTTATGTAATTGGTAAAAAAGTGAGCTGCTGTATCCCTCCCTTGGGATGACAATTTGGTCTCCCACCAGATCCGGCAGCCAGGGCCACCAAGAGGGGAAAATGTAACAGGGGCAGGGGTTGATGTGGGCTCCCAGTTACGAGCGCGAAGGGCGCAAACAATATTTTTGGGGGGAGGGGGTTTGCCTGTCAATCTGGAAGGGCCCAGTATTAGGGGATTCATGCCATTATTGGGGCCCATGATGTAATGATAGTAGTGATAGTGATATATTGTATTACAATTTTTTAATTTGTAAAAAAAATATTTTATGGGCCTTACCCATTATTTATTTAAAAAAAAAAATATTGGAAAAAATGCTACTTTCAATTTCTGTGGGCCCCTAGTAAGCTGGGGCCCCATGGATCTTTCCCCCTGTCCCTCTCGGTGGCACTGACGGCAGCTGCGCAACCCCCAGGCCCAGAGTAACTCTGTTGGTTCCTGGTACTGGGGTTGGGATGCATATATTTCGTAGTAAGAATTTCAGGTTCGAAATGTCCGCGACAGAGTGTTGTTACAAAAATCAGTGGTTAGTAGGGAGGAAATGTGTTACGGAAACCTGACACCCGACTGTGGTTAACCATTAAGTGGGTGCTCTTCTAGTAGACGGTCTATTGGTGACGTTAGAATGATCTAGATGAAACACCTGATTAGATGTTTGTTTAGAAAGCAGTAGGTAAACGATCTGTTCTACAAATGAATATGGTGTGTTTTATGTTGTAATGTGGTATTCCATGGTTACAGTCTCTGAAGTTGCTTTGCAATAGTACCGTATCTATATTCGTGTGCTAGTCTAAATCACTTCCTTGGATTTGCTGAGCTACTATATTCTGAAATCTGTGCGTTGTTCATGTATTAATTTGTAATGTTCTATATCAGACTTTCAGATTGAACACTGAAAGCTGAGGCGGGACGCCTGTCATATTCTCGTCTGACGCGTTAAAAAACAATACCGTCAAACCTTAAATGAAGCTTCTTTCGAGATAGTACTTACATTTTTCAAATGAGCTTGTCTTCCATGATCACGATAGTGTGTCAGTATCAATATTATATTATTTTATTTTACAGCATGATTAAAATTTTAAAAATATTTTTTAATTTGCAAAAGTAATCTCGAAAAGAGGACCATCTCGAAAAGGTCATCCGATGGTCCGAGAAAAGAAGACGGGGCTTCTATTCCAGGTTTTACGGTATTGCGTCATTTGCTTCCGCTCAGACCAACGCGCTTTTGGGTCTGAGTATTGATGGCAAGTCGATACATTGTAGCATTGAAATAATTCATAAACACATAGGTTTAAGTGGTCTAATTTTATGCCTTAATCTAGAAGGAACACCTCGATTGCAGACGGCCTACAGTGATGATTTGAGGCTTATAGTGGTCTATTGTAGAAACGGTTGTTGCAACAAGTTACAAATAAGAAGAAAAAAAAACAAAACAAGCAGGTTAGAAACGTACCTGTCCGATAAGATGGCAGCATCCAACACAGAGTTGTTTACAGAAGGTGAGAATAATGGACCTTTCCGGGGTGACTTTTGTCTCTATATATTTATCATATGATTTTATTATTATATTTCTTGTGAAATCCGTATTAATAAAGGGCGTGTTATCAGTGATCTCAGTTGTACCATTGTGCTTTATGCTTACGCCCTCAATAGTCCATATCCCACAGTCAAGACAGAATCTAGTGTATTACAGTACTGAAAGTCTATAGGATTGAAGTGACAATAAATATATAAACTATAAGGGCCTACAAACACTTTTCAGTACGCTTCTTGTAATTTTGTGAAGCCTGGAGTATCATATTAATAAATAGGTCTACCACCATCACCCATGCCAAAATAATCATATATTAGTGATACTGCAGAGTAAGTTTAATTTAACAAGTATATTTTCGGAGAACCCATCTTTTGGCTATTTCATCTGCGGTATACCAGCGGCCCTTGTCACCTAAAGAGTCATGAGCGCAAGAATGGTATATTGTATAAGAGACAGCACTTCCGTGTATGCCCTACATTGGGCATCTGGTTTTGAGTCCTCATCAAAGAAGTCTTGATTCTACCAGTAGGCCTACCAATTTTATATATATTAGGCCTATATAGGCCTACATATATAATTTATATATAGATAGATAGATATGAATCACTCGGAGGTATTTATTGACATTGGAAATCAACTTTTTAATTTTGTCAGCGCAAGTGCAGATAACAGTCAGATACCAGTCAACCGAAATCTTCAACAAGAACGAAGACTGCTCAGATGGATGCTGTGTCTTCTATAAGAACCATACATGTAAAGATGCGAAACTGGTTCGCTTAGACCTACCTTATGCTGGAGATAATGACGACGACAAAAGGAGGAAAGAAATAGAGTGCACGAATAGATTGCTTAAAGGGATGGAGAATGGGTGAGTGACTGACCAATGCTTAGGCCTGGTTTTTCATTTCGAGAAATTATTGCCAAGACGCAAACCGGCACAGAGTGCGTAAACTGACGAAATCTATCGCCTCTTTAAGCCTATTTTCCACTAAATTTATTCGCAAGAATCGAAGGTATCGGTTCGGTTCCTGAGCTCTGGTTGGTTGTGCATTTCTTTCGCTTCGCAAAAAGTAGAAACAGTTCAAACTACCGATTTCGCTGAAGCGAAAAACTCTGATAGAAATGTGAATACGCATGCGCATAAACCGACGCTTTTGGCTCGGGCGAATAAATTCGCAAGTGAAAACAGACTTTAGCGCTTGACGAAACGACGCCAGAATCATCGTTAAAAACATTCCGTCGCGTGCCGTCAATGTTTGCCAGGCTTTAGGCTTACTATGTACATTCCTGAGTTTTATGCTATACAACTATTTAATAATAATAATAATAACAATAATAATAATGTCATTTTGTTAGGCGCACGTATCCATCCCTAGTAGGTTGCTCGCGGCACAATAATTCTTATGCATATTATACAAATATTTACCGAGATGAACTGGAAGCTGTATATGTCCCTCTACTTCGTCTCGGGACATAGTACATAGTATGACCCGATTAAAACCCAAATATTTGTTTTATATACCGTACCACTATATAGATTGTAGGCATTAGAAAGCATGGCTGGAACTATTGCACGGTTTTTAACCAATAAAAAGCCTGGAATCTATGTAGTACATATATAATATGATATAGGCTTAAGTATATAAATATAGGCCTATATATAATCTGTCTCTTATACACATCTAGATGTGTATAAGAGACAGCTTCAGGTAACTGTGGATCAGAGATATGGCGATATGAAAGATCATCTTTTCTTTACCTTTTTCTTCTTGTCTTATCTTTCTGTTCATTTCCTTTCCTTTCTCATATTCCTTATCCTTCTTTTCTATCTTTTATTTTCCATTCATATATTTCCTTCTCTTTCCTCCGCTGTAGGGAGGATATTTATTTAAAAGAATGTCGTAAAACAATACAACTCTGTATTTTTTAAATAGTTCAACTGCAGCGCCAAATTTCTCTATGCCTAACTAGTAAGGCTATAGCTTTAGCTACTAGGCCTAGGCCTTAGGGAGGGCCTATGTCTGCATTGATTTAGAATGCAATAAGCAGCTTTTTGAATAATAATAATAATAATAGTAATAATAATAATAATAATAATAGGCCAAGTACTACTACTACTACTACTACTACTACTACTACTACTAATAATAATAATAATAATAAACAAGCTTTTATAAAGCGTTGTACAATAACATCTCAGAGCGCTAGCTAACTGTGCATAGCTCAATTCTGTGTTGTTTTTATAGGTTTATCCATATATATTTTTTATAATATACTTTTTAATTTGAGTATCAATGAAAGAAGCCTACCATATAATTTTGTATTTAATATATACGTCTACCCAATGATTTAAATTTATATTTATAGATTTGTATCACATTAAACACATAATTTTACATTGTATTATTTTCTTCGTGAATATTTTCTTGCAGCCTTCTTTTAGAATACGACATCAAAGATCATTGCATCTATGCGAAGCGACAATGCCGCACTGTCGTGTATTACCACAGCTCCCAATATCACGCCAATAATAATCCTGTTAAAATTGAAACCGAACAGAGAGTTAAAATCTTCGACTACTCAGCATTCCGACAGCAATTTGTGTCCTGGTTGTCCCGAAGTTATGGCAGGTATAAGGGTAACAGAGAGTCATTCAAACGACACAAAATTTTCTTCAGCTTCGGGCAGAAGTGGCAGCCGTATCTGGAAGGACACAAAGAGTTAGGTGAAAACAGACCTCAACCTACTGCACTGGACACCCGTTTGATCTCAATGATTGTCGTTCCATTGAACGCCAAAGAAATGGTGATGGCAACTGAAGAAGGTCGTGACCGCTCTGAGACGATTTCGATGGGATTGAACCAGAACTTCTTTTTTATTTCTCTCGAAGGATCATCCCAGATTTGTAAATCTCTCAAAAAGATGACACATAGAATTCGAAAACTTGATGAACAAGGTAAAGAAAGATTACAGGAACCAGAAAACATGAGTATTGATGAGGAAACAACTAGCAGCTTCAGTCAATTACTTGATGATTGTCTCGATCTTCAGGATATGTTGGATAGGCGAAACCACATGTTCCAACAACAGAGTAATCAATGTCATCAATATCAGCAACCGCAACAACAATTGGAGCAGCATCATCTTTCGCCAATGGCGCAGCATCAGCTGAGGGAGCAACAACAACCTATGGAAGAGCAACAGCAGGTAGACAGTCGACAACAGATGGAGCAGCAGTTTGACCTTATACAGCAGCAACAACAGAATTTCCAACATCTCGCCTTTCAACAGCAGCAGCAACAATTCTCACCCAACGTACCAGCGATCGGTCAACAAGAACACGTGTCACAACTATTACAGTTGCAAGACCCAGGTAGCCAATTGCAACAGGATTATACAGAACCTCCACTTTTCCAGTTAAGACCTCAAACTGGCTTACAAGAACCATTTCCTGACCAACAACCAATGTGTCAACAGGCAGACAACGGGATGGTGTACTTTAATTTTGGTAACGGTAAAGAAGGTGAAGTTGGATTTACGCCAGAAGAATGGCTAAAAGTTGTATCTTTGTCTAACAGGTTAATGGAAGCCGAAAATATATTGCTGTACTCCCAATGAGAAACATTTAGAAAAATAATATATTGGTCATGGTATAAGTAATAATTAGGCAGTAGATATTTAGCCGATAGGACGCCTATTAGCTTACACATTTCCGTGAATATTAGCTGGAGGTGGGGGTGGGGGCGCAATCTAAACCTAACATTAAAGATAGGAAAATTCGAGTTGTAGCCGGCAAAGTATCAATAACCCATAAATTAATTAACAACAACGCTTGTACTATGTACGTTTATACAAAATGTAAATAAGGAAATCCATAAGCGAGAGTGATTTTATTCAGATCATCATTATGCAACTTATTCATTGTAACTATTTATAATAATAGTTTGTACTTAGCGGCTATGTTCCTTGAAAGCTGGCCAGGTTTGTTTGTTTTATTGGAACGTTGAATGGCACAGTCCCTGGTCAGTGGTGGCTCCAGAAAGTTGCCAACAAGGGTTTGAACCAAGGGACTGCCTACAGCATCTATTAGGGTCCCGGAATAAAAACTAGTAGGTAGTGGGTTGATTGTGAGAGTTTTTATGGCTTAGTATGGCCCAAAATTGTAATTTTAGACCACGATATATTAGGGATTGGCAATCAACATAACGTAATAATAATATCTCTGGTTGAGGGTATGTCACACACTACAAGTATAGAGGTTATTGGGGTTACAGGCGAATTATTAAAATGTAAATATGTAAAACATATGTAAAAATATATGGATTAAAATACTAATTTTCATGTCGATGATGTATTGTGTTATTAATTCATGATTTTTTATTATTTCACCTCATTCTGGTAATTTTTTGCCGCCTTACTTGTCTATAATCTTGTTGGAATATCGTTGGATATGCTTAGACATGTCCCGAGGAGACCGCGAATGAAAAGAAGGTTGGAAACCACTGCCTTTGATGGCCGGAAATGGTACTCTTAGACTTCATTTTGAATGTATTTTTTTTCTCTATTTTTTGTTATAGTTTTAAAAAAAATTAAGGGCGGCAGGCCTGTTTTCCCCCTGCCAACCCCGTGGAACCCACAATTCGCAGCGTAATTGTGCTGAATTGCGTACGGGCCTGGTGGGTCAGTAAGTGCCAAACTGCCTTAAATGCGCACAGCAGTTAGGCCTACTTTCTACAAAGATGGGAAAGGGTTGAAGTGAACCAACTCTAAGGGTAACCCCCTACAGTGGACCTCCAGTTTTGCGCTCATAAAAGAGACCTAGTTATATCAACAGAACCGTCAGAGCCGATTTTTATGGCCAGGTTGCGGGACCACTTCCTTAATACCCTCTCGA